CCCACGCAAGGCTGCACGGAGCAAGCCCACAGGGTGCTGCTCACCCTAAGCGAGCCAGCACTGAGCAAACACATCCCAAAAAATCCCATGGGGTGTTGTTGGCCTCAAGGGAGCCGGCACTGAGCACATGCACCCCAAGCAAGTCCATGGGGTGCTCCATCCACCTATAGTGGGAAGCGCACCCCAAGTGCACCCACACTGAGCGAGCACACCCCACACTGAGCGAGGCCATGGGGCGCTGCTCATCCCAAGCAAGCCCGCACTGAGTGAGCACACCCCAAGCAGGTCCATAGTGGGAAGCGCACCCCAAGTGCACCCACACTGAGTGAGCACACCTCACACAAGGCCATGGGGCGCTGCTCGCCCCAAAAAAGCCCACACTGAGTGAGGGCACCCCAAGCAAGTCCATGGGGCACTGCTCACCCCAAGAAAGCCCACACTGAGTGAGCGCACCCCAAGCAAGTCCATAGCAGGAAGCACACCCCAAACAAGCACACAGTGAGTGAGCAGACCCCAAGCAAGTTCACGGGGCGCTGCTCACCCCAAGCAAGCCTGCACTGAGTGAGCACACCCCAAGCAAGTCCATAGTGGGAAGCGCACCCCAAGTGTGCCTACACTGAGTGAGTGCACCCACACATGAGGCCATGGGGCACTGCTCACCCCAAGCAAGCCTGCACTGAGTGAGCACACCCCAAGCAAGTCCATAGTGGGAAGCGCACCCCAAGTGTGCCTACACTGAGTGAGTGCACCCACACATGAGGCCATGGGGCACTGCTCACCCCAAGCAAGCCTGCACTGAGTGAGGGCACCCCAAGCAAGCCCACAGCGGGAAGCACACCCCAAACAAGCGTACACCAAATGAGCGCACCCCACGTGAGCCTATGGGGCACCGCTCACTCCAAGCAAGTCCATAGCGGGAAGCGCACCCCACGCGAGCACACACCGAATGAGAACACCCCAGGCGAGCCTATGGCGGGAAGCGCACCCCAAACAAGCGCACACCGAGTGAACACACCCCACGCGAGCCCATGGCGGGAAGCGCACCCCAAACGAGCCCGCACCGGGGAGCGCTCCCGCCACCCCCGCCCGCCGCAGCCCTTTGAACCGACCTATCGCTCCCGGCGCCGCCGCCGCCCCCGGCCGTGATGCAGGCGGCTCCTCCCCTGCGCGCTCCGCCGCGCCGGGAGCTCCCTCCTGCTCGCCCTTATTTAATTTCGAGTGTGATTTGGCTATTTTTAGCAGCTGGATCCCCTCCAGTAAGTCTTGGAGATCGTTTTTTTTTTTTAATAATAATTATTATTTTTATCCCCCTCCCTCCACCCTCTCCTCCCTTTATTTTTTTCCGTATTTTTATACGTTCCCCTCAGATGATTTTGAGCCAGCTTCCTTCCTCCCGGAGCGATTTTTTTTTTAATTTATTTATATAAATCGGAGGGGGCCTGGCCGCGCTGGGGATGCGTGTTGAGCCGCTGCCTCCCTCCTCTCTCTGCTTCTCCTTTCAGATCCGCATTTGCGAGCAGCAGCCGCCAGGAGGGGGGGGCTTTAATTCGCTCTCAGCACAAGATACGCCGGGGAGAAAAAAAAATAAAAGCAAAAAAGGAGGAGAAAAATAAAAAGCCCCGGCTCGGAGACCAGGCTGACTGTGAGTGCTCGCTTTTCGCGGGGGAGACGGTTTGGGGCTGCCGGCACCCCTGGCTCTCTCGCTATTTGCAAGGACAGGCGGGTGGTGCATTTTGTTGTTGTTAATAATACTGATAATATTTGTTATTATTATTATTCGCGCGGGCCGTGCACCTGATGGGCCCGCGGCGCAGCCGGACTCGGCGCCGCTCGCTG